ACATGATTATTACGTGTCAGATATAGTCATCATAAATAAATACCTTTCATCGAATATCTAAATATCTAAATACACATTTACAACGAAATATTGTGACTGTAATTTTTCGGGATTGCTAACACGTCTTCGGATTGGTTTCATATTTTTCAAGCCACGTTTCATTGCGGCAACAGCAGAGATTTCAAAACATTTGACACGAGCGCTGCTGGAATTCCTTCTGCAACGAATTAGTTCAAACATCTATAATTTGACGAACCACTCTCAGTACTGGAAAATAATTTTGCCAACACAGAATCATCGGTCGCAATGCGAGAAAACTGAAACGTTCAATCTAGCCGCCAGATGCTGCGGATCCAAGTATTCAAACAGAAATCCAATCCCCGGAAGCCCCGGCAAAGTCGAAATTCAAGACTTTCCATCGTTTCCCGCGTGTAACTTGGCCCGCGAACAGCTTCCTCAATTAAACGCAGTTTCTCCCCGCGTCGGAGGAAATTACGTTCCGTCGCCGACGACGCAAGAATGTGTCCGAATTTCGAAAATTTTGCGCGCCGTACGATTCACCACTCGCGACGAGTCTTTGCCAGAGACGAGCGTGGCAACTTTCGTACGAGCGATCCCTTAAATAAAGGCGCGAACGATCGAATTTTAATCTGGGGGATTAAATTGAACAACGCACGCTAAATGACAGACGATCTCTCCGAGCATCGGCGAATTTCCCGCGAATCCACGTCCTCGTGGAACTTCCGGTCCTTGGGACCTTGATGGAAGACGACGCTCGAGTAACGAGAGCTAACGTTGATAACGCGAAATAACGAACGGGCGGAGCCTGGCGTTAAAGCGATTATTAAGATCGTTGAAAATTTCGCTGGTAAACTGCTTCGCGAATTTCGATGAAATCCATGTGATTTTTTTCGCGGATTTCTGCAATTAGCACGAAAATATTAATAATGGGGGGGGATTTTTTATGAGTACGTCGTTGATGCTGTCAAGTTCGAAATAAATTCAGAAATATATAATATATGGAAATTAAGCCGCGAAGTAGATAAATAATTATCTATTGTATTGATAAGTCTTGATATTTAAAACTGAGAAATTATTCTCGATTGCAATAAATATCTTGCAACTCCTATATATATGTGTGTGTGTATTTGAATTATTACGAACTTTAATAGATTAGAGTTTCGTGTGTGTAACAAGAATAGAAATAGCTGTTAATAATAAATATCACACCTCTTTTCCATATTTTTCGAATATTAGTATTTTCGGTTCTCCGGTTTTATCGCAATTCTCTGAACATTTTCAAAGAGCCAGTGTTATTTCGTTAATGTACACACAATTGGAGCAACTGCCAGAATTTTTCTCCAATTGTACACGTATACCTACGTATAAAGCGTTCACGAATAAACAAGAAAACAAGAAACATTCAGATGAAAAATTTCGGATTTTATCGAACGAATCAGTAGATATGCTTCCAACGCAACAGTTACTGCTATTTTCAATTCACTGTAGACTTGATGCCAGATCTGTGTCTCCAGGAACCAAATAAACGAAAATAAAAAGAGAAAACACGCATTAATTGAAATGAGTTATCGTGAGGAGAAATTTGTATTACCCGAAGACGAAATAATACCCGATCGCTTTATCTACGAGTCCAATTGAACGCGACTGTAATCCAAAATTCGTGGCACTAAATCACGCATGGTTTATCAGTGGTTAAGTTGGAATCGCTCGGCCTGGAACGGATTAAAGTTCGTCAGAGAATCGTACGGCGATCGTGTGCCCCGCTTTCTCTCTCTCTCTCTCT